AGTCAGCAGTGAAACCAGCAAAGATTGCTGGAATTTTGGAGAAGTTTGCAGAAACTTCGGATAAGAATAAAGCAGAACGAATAACTTTGAAACAGAAGGGTGTAAACAAGTCTGGCAAAGGGTCGGACATATTTGCACATAATTCTGCCTGTTAATATCAATCCATTTTAGTTGCTTATTTAATTTCAATTTGATATTTTCGACAAAAGAAAAACTTTTTCTTGTTGATGAAGAGCAAAGTTATTACGTTAATTAATGCATAATGATTGATAAACTGATAGTGGATAACAACATCTTATCATATCATCTATTTATTGCTAATAGTTGTAAAAACAATAAATATCGTTAGATTACTGATACCATTTGATGGTATTATGTTATCGGTTTTTTTGAAATTAAATTTGATTGGATTAAAAAGGCAAAATTAATATGTCACACTTTTAATTTTCTCGATTTATGAAATAATAAATTTTGTTTATTTTTATTTGATTTGGCCAAATTGTTATAACTTTCCACTTTGTCCAGCAAATGTTATTTATTGCTTTCTTGGCCCATTTGGATATGGCTTATTTAGTGTACTTTATTTTTGACACATTTGGATATGGCTCATTTAGTATACTTTATTTTTGATACATTCGGAAATGGCTCATTTAGTATACTTTATCCTTGGCTCATATTTGAAATGAATTGCTGGTAACATATGAACAATGTATTATCTAAAAATGTGTATATCTTCTATTTATAAAATGAAAAATTAAAAAACAAAACATTGATAACGAAGTATGAAAACATAATTCAAATTAATGAAGGGCAAAAATTATTATATTAATTAATGCATATTGATTGATTAATTGATAATGAATAACAATATCTTATCATATCATCTGTTTATTGCTAACAGTAGTAAGACAATAAATATCGATACATTACTGGCACCATTTGATGGTATTATGTCATCGGTTGTAAAAGCTCGTAAAGCTGAAATTTTTCTTCTTTAACTGGTTTCTAAATTTTATTTGTTTTAAAATATAAAACAATTAAACTAAAGCTAAATTAATATTCCATGTTAAACTTTCACATTAAAAATTTTGAAATATTTTAATCACATAATATTAATTTAGGTTAATAATACTATATTGATGATATTTTTAACCTATATTAATATTGTGAGAACTAAAATACATAAATATGATAATTATAATTAATTAAACATGATAAGCATAAGTATGATAATTACGCTTGAAAACTTTGATAATTTTTATGATATTTAATATTTGAAAAATAGGATATCACTTGAATTGCTATATCCTTAATTTGCATTTGTCGCTTTTATATTGCCAAAATTCTTCAAACTGATTTCTATTTTCAAAATTTTCAAATCAATAATTATCATATTTTGATAGATTATATCGTTATATTTAATTACTAAAATATACATTATTTAATTATTAATATAACTTTATTTAATTACTAAAATAAATTATTTGATTGTTAATATAACTTTATTTAATTACTAAAATATACATTATTTAATTATTAATACAACTTTATTTAATTACTAAAATATATTATTTGATTGTTAATATAACTTTATTTAATTACTAAAATATACATTATTTAATTATTAATATAACTTTATTTAATTGCTAAAATACATTATTTGATTATTAATATAGCTTTATTTAATTACTAAAACATATATTATTTAATTATTAATACAATTTTATTTAATTTCGAATATATAAAAGCTCTTTTAATTATTAATGTATGTTTGAAAATGATCAAAAAGATTTCCTTAAGATATTTCATATATTCATTATCATTAAATTATAAATCGTAAATTTAAAATGTAAAAATAATAATCGAAATTTGATAAACTAAAACAAAGGAAATGATAAAGGAAGAAGGAAAAGTAATTCAAATCATACATCTTTGATAAGGTGTATCAATCTGACGATATTTAATTCGTGGACCACGATGTGATCGCTCTGACCATGGATTTGTTCGTAATTCAATGAATAACCAATCGGAATCACTTTCGAAACGTACACCGATCAGATCATTTCTTGTAACGCACAAAATACTGAAATTACCAAATCTTTAAATATTAATTTTTCCTTTTATTTTTTAATTACTCTTTTTATTTTTTAATTAATTAATTAATTTGTTTTGATTTATTTTTTCCAAAAAATTTTGCTTTTCTGAAAAAAAAACCTTACGGATTAGCAATACTTTTAGCGCCCCAAATATAAAAAATATCATTGCATGGTTGATCCGGTGGAACATTATCATCATCTAAATCCAAATCGTTAATGTAAAATTCGATCGTCTTTTCCGGTTTACTTTTTATCAACCATTGACAGAATGTTGCACCTTTTCGAGCTTCCGGATATGTGCTAAAAAGATTAATTCCAGTTCTTTTATCATTTTCTAATCTAATTTTTTATTAAATGAAAAAAATTATCATATCGATTTAATTTAACAAATTTCACTATCTCTTTCAGATTTAAATTATATTTATGAATGATTTTAATTTTAGGATAAAAGAGATGAAATAATTTTAGATTTAAGGATTTAAATAAATAATTAATTAGATAAGATATTTTCTTCGTTTTTCTTTGATATTAATTGTAATTAATTTCAAAATTTAATTGTGCAAAATTTTTTCTCAATAAAACATAAGTGATAAATGATAATAATAATTAACAAATGATATGATAAAAATTAGGAAAGAACAATTTCGGTTCTTTTCTTTTGTTTTACTTTATTTTCTATATAAATTTTATTTTGAGATTACATAACAATTATGCAATAGTTTTTGAAATTTTTAATTTGAAAGAAAGATAAAACTCTTTTATCATATCACTGTTAATTATTATCATTTATATTAGGTGTATTAAAATTTTGTTTATTTTATTTTCTCTTTTTAAAAATGGAAGAAAGAAATGACCTTAGTGAAATTGTTCCCTGTTCTTTATTATGTATGCCACATGATTGATCGGTAAAAAGTTTTCGTCTAGAAAGTTGCTCGCAATTTTTTCCCTCTAATCCATATGCACATTGACAAGTGCAATCCATATTTACCGTACCACCATTTTCACATTCGATATTACATCGTTCTATAAATTACTAAGCAAATAACCAATAATAGTAGTAGTAGCGGCAATAACAACAATTGAAAAATTTAAAATTTATTAAGCAAATAAACAACAATAGTAGTAGTAGTAGTAGTAGTAGTAGTAGTAGTAGCGAAAATAACAATAATAATAGCAATGACTGAAAAAATTTTAATTGTTAAGTAAATAAACAATAATAGTAGTAATAGCAGCAATAACAGTAATTGAAAAAATTTAAATTATTAAGTAAATAGGCAACAATAGTAGTAGTAGTAGTAGTAGTAGTAGTGGCAACAACAACAAAAACAACAATTGAAAAAATGATGAATACAATTTTAAAAAATTAATTAAATGAAATGAATGAAAAAAAAAGGATTGAAAAAATTTAATTTATTTCTAATTTTTTTAAATCAATTTTTTAAGAGTATAAAAGCGATGAAAAAAAACCGAAAGAATCGGAAGCTAAAATTGAGAAGAAAGACTTGTGTATCACGAAATTTAGAAACGGAATAAGTTTTGTTCGATTATTATTCAATCAATTCTAACGAGCAAACTGATTCGTTTAACCGAGTTTAACTGCTCAATTATTAATAAAACAAAACTATTAGCTATAATTTAGAAGAAAAAAAAACCGGAGAAATCGGCAGCTAAAGTTGAGATGAAAGATTTGCATATCATGGAAATTAGAAACAGATCAAGTTTCATTCGAGTATTACTGAATCATTCTAAGTTATTCAACGAGCAAACTGATTCGTTTAACCGATTTGATCCGTTTAACTGCTCAATTATTAATAAAACAAAACTATTAGCTATAATTTAGAAGAAAAAAAAACCGGAGAAATCGGCAGCTAAAGTTGAGATGAAAGATTTGCATATCATGAAAATTAGAAACAGATCAAGTTTTATTCGAGTATTACTGAATCATTCTAAGTTATTCAACGAGCAAACTGAAACAAATAAACAATTCGTATGAAAAATTTCTTTGTTCAACAAATATTGAATAAATCGTCAAAATTATTTTTTAATTATTTAATTTCATTCCCCCTATTAAAAATTTCAATTTAAAATTTCACTCTGCTAATTGCTAATTATACTTAACTCTGCTAATTACTAATTGCACTAATTAGTAATTATTTTTTGAAATTTAAAATATTCATATATTTCATTCAAAATTTTGCAAAAAAATAAAAGCTAAATTAAATTAAAGAATTTTGAAAAAAATTTTTTGCATATTTTACGTGTGAACAATTTTGCAAATTCTGTCAACAATCGAATCTAATTGTATGCATTTTTATTAAAGTGTATCCTAATTTGATTCAATCAAAAATCTGAAATGATGAATAGCTAATTGACCTTTTTTAGCCGAAATCTTTCGTTAACTCTAATCTATGCACATGTCGATAATGATGACCCATAACCCTTGATGATGTAATCATTTCGTCAATTTCCACCTAATCATTACTTTAGTAAGATTCATTTGACTACCCTGTCATTTAACATTGACAGCGTACAGCAACAACAACAACAATACCAATGACAATAATTGTAATCATATAAAATGAAAAATCTCACTTTACTTCATCAAAAATTTTCTCTTCAAAATTTCTCAAATAAAATTTAATTTTCGATTGAATGATAGATCCTTCCAAATAAGTGACAGCTCAAAATATTTTCTGGCCCATTCTTCAACTTTATCATTTTAATAATATCAAGAAAATTTTCCATTTGTTGAAAATTAATAATTTTTCAAACTTTCTTACTATCCAAAAAAATCTTATTAGTTAATTAATTTCAAATAATTAGTTAATCTAAATTTTAACACTGATAGGAAAATGAAATTTTTAAATTTTAATATAATTTCAACAAGCGAATAAATTAATGAAATATTTAAGACAAAAAGAAAAAAGTTGCAAAAATTAGTTCGTAAGAAAAAAAATGTATTTTAGATAGTATTATGCATTTTTAGTTTATTACTTAATGATACTTAATGATATATTGATGATAGTCTATTACTTAATAATATAAGGGATGATAAAAATAATATAAAAAAAACTGAATAATAAAATTAGACAGGGAAATGGAATACAACTTGAAACTTCATATTATACGATTAGTTCCAGAAAAAGTGATTTTCGGAATCCAAAAGTATTACCATAGAAATTGTAATACTTAACAACGATTAAGAAATATTACTATAGAAATGATAATATTCAGCAAAGATTCAAAAGTATTACCATAGAAATGGTAATATTCAACAACGATTCAGAAGTATTACCATAGAAATGATAATACACAACAACGATCCAAAATCATTACCGTATATATTTTTCATTAACTAACCTAAATATATTAGCGTATATGGTCTTCATTAGCTAACCTAAATTTATTACCGTATTTTTTTATTAGCTAACCTGAATTTATTACCGTATATTTTTTCATTAGCCAACCTACAGAAGAAAAAATTACAGAAGAAATAATTACATATATTAAAAGTTTGAAATTTTCGACATTATTTAATAGTATTTCAGTAAAAATAATTTTTTTTTGAATTTTTAAAAGTATGAAATTTATAAATTTGTTTTTATTTTGTTTATCTTTTTTGTTTGTTTATTTATTCTATTATTTCATTTGTCTTCTTTTCATTAGACTAATTATGGTAGTTTTTTAAATGCATAACGAATATTTTGTATAATTAAGATAATTTGCATGAAATTGTTTCGAATTTTCCCTTCTTTCATTCTATTCTAAAACGATCAATTTATCACGTAAATGAACGAGTTCAATGAGGTCATAGGTTAATGTTATTAACCATCTAAGTTCTATTTTAAAAATGACCAATAAATACCCATTTCTATTCTAAAGCGATCAATAAACAATGAGATCAGAATATATATATATATCAAATGTTGCAGAATGGATGTATTATAAATTAACATTGTTCCGTTCATTATTCATTATATTAACTGAATGTAAATGAATGAGTTCAATGAGGTCATCGGTTAATGTTATTACCATTTAAGTACTATTCTAAAACGATCAATAAATAAAGAGATCAAAATTATAGATTTATTATTGCAGAATAGAATGCATTATAAATTAACATTATTCATTATTAACTGAATGTAAATGATTGAGTTGAATAAGGTCATAGGTTAATGCTATTTACCATTTAAATTCTATTCTATCAATAATGAAGAGATCAAATTATATATTTAATATTGCAGAATGATGGTAACATTATTCATTACATTGACTGAATGTAAATGGATGAATTCAAAGAGGTCATAGGTTGATTATTATTATAATTTAAGCAAATTAATAATTAAGCAATTTATCATTAATAAATTTTTTAATTTCTTTTTCTTTTATTTTATGTTTTTAATATTAATCAAATTTTTTATTAAAAATTGGAAAATTTTTTTAAGAAAAATTAAACTGTCAAATCCGGAATTGAAACCTGAAAAAAGGGAAGGTACAATTTTTTTTAAAGTAAATTAATATCTTAAGCATCCATTCCCTCATTTATTCCCTTCCTATTATTTATAGTGTGGATATAAAAGGTCAGAGATATAAAGAGATACCGGATATGGTATAGCTAATTCTAGTGGACATCAAATGGACATATGTTTATTATGATTGTACATGTATATGTGTATATATCTGTCTGTATGTGTGTATGTGTCTGTGTCTGTATGTGTGTGTATGTATATTATGTTTGCTACATTTTGCGCAGATTTTCATGTAGCTGTTTTATGGATGATTAGATAATTACTATTTCAAGCATGAAGTCAATGGCTCAATAATTAACAATAATTATACGTGTTGTACCTGTACAATTGTACATCGTGTTGATTAGATGAATCACTTGGGTACGAATTGGTAGTGATGATTCGATTGCAGAAAGTGCATGTGACAATACCGCCAAACATGCATCATCAGACCACAATGATGATGATGATGATGATGATAATGTTAATGATGATGATGATGATGGTGGTGATAATTCCTTTAAAAAAAATTCTTTTTTTTGTTATTGTTGTATTTTTTGGATTTAAAATGTTTTAATTAATTAAATTAAAAAAAAATCACTAAAGAATATTTTAAGTAAATTTAAGTAAAATATTATAAATATTATATTATATTATAGATTTCTGTTATTTTATAAATAATTATTTATATTGTTATAAATAATTGTATATTATTGTTTTTAAGTATTTATGTTTTTGAATAGATATTTTATATGATATGAATTAATATTTCATGTATATAAAAAATCGTATTATCTTAACTACGAATTCTCATTTAAAAAAAAACATTAAAAATTCAATTATTTTGTATTTTATAGTATATATATTTAAATTTAGCTTACATTCAAGCATTTCCTACTCAAATGCATTGTTTGATTCGATTTTTGCCATCTGCATAATCTGAAATTGATAAAAATTCTGAAAATAGATCATAAACCGTAAAATAATCAAATAGTTGCTTAATATTATATAATCTGTAATAATTTAAATTATGAAATGATTAACAGAATTCTTGATGTTTGATATGATTAAGGAATAATTTTATAATATTGCTTTATTTATGGATGATAACAAAATTATGTTACTGTTATCACTTATTAGACAGGTGTATAATAAATTATTTGCAATTTTATGATATTGTTTTATTTATGGATGATAAAATTATGTTATTGTTATCACTTATTAGACAGGTTTATAATAAATTATTAGAAAATTTGAATTCAAGTTTAATAATTAGCTAATTAAAGTTAATAAATTCATTTATTGTTTAGAAATTAAATCAAATTATGACTGAAGAAAAACATATTTTACTACGATTATCATATCGCTTCTACAGAAATGTAGCCTAAAAAAGCTAATTGAATTAATAAATTTTATATCCATTAAAAATTAATCAAATTATAATTTCAAAAACTATAATAGGAAAAAGTGAAAAGGAGAGAGAGAGAGAGAGAAAGAGATGAGAATTTTATAAAAGGATCACTTATCCTTGGATTAAACCTATTTGCATACTTCAAATTAATTTGCTTCCAGCATAAGTTATCGGTATCATTTAGGATAGAACTATAATTTTGATATTTGGTACTTGAATGTAATGAAGCATAAAATTGAATGAAATTAATTTTCCACTATCTTTTTATTTGAAGTGATTGACGGAAATCTTTTGAAGAGAAAAATTAAAAAAAGGAAAAATGAAGAAGACAATTAATAAGAATATGAATAATTAACAAAAACAATTGTAATATACTTTATGTTTGTAAATTTGTAAAATTAATTTAAAAAAATTAAGATAACATTTTGAAAAAAAATGTTAAAATTAAATTGAAAATATTATTATTTTATCATTTTAAGGCATTTACTAAAATTATTTAATTATTTATTATAAATTTGTTATCATTTTGTTATCAATCGCTATTAAAATGTTATCAATTAATCCATTTCAATTTTTTTTTCATTTTATTATCAATTACAATTAAAATGTTATCAATTAGTCCATTTCACGGGATTATAAATTATCATCCTAAAATTAATTTTTTTTTTTTTAAACTAACGTTGATTGCATAAATGTAATTGGCTTGAAATTCATATCGATCATTGAAGTAGTAGAAGTTGTTGATTCAAATAGCAAGCATGTTTTATCGGTAATTATTTCCATTGCTCGTTGTAAGCATTTGTTAATTGACACATCTATAAAACTTTCTCTTCTACAATTTCAAATTCTGAATTTCAAAAAACAAAATTCATTTCTCCTTTTTTAAATCTGAAAATCTAAAAATTCTTTTTTGATTTAAATTACAAATTAATTAACAAATTAAGTTTAGAATTTGAAAAATTTCTAAGAAGAAAAAAGGAAACGGTAAAAAGAAACGGTAATGAAGAAACGGTAAAAAACGGTAATAAAAAACGGTCAAAAAAACAGTAATATATTAAAGCAATTATAATTGCAAGTAATATAATAACTTTGTTTGGTAATATTTTAGTAAACTGAAATTGTAATAATAAAATAAATAAATAATTTTTTTCAGGTTTTTTGAATGAAAGAAAATTGTTATTTAAAAATTGGAATAATTCAGTAAATTAATGAAAATTTTATTATTACAAATTATTGATGCCATGAAAACGGTAATACCTTTAAGATACGGTAAAAAGAAACGGTAATAAAAAACGCTCAAAAAACGGTAATATTTTAAACCATTTGTAATTGCAAATAATATAATAACTTTGTTTGGTAATAATTTAATGAACTGAAATTGCAATGGCAAAAATAAGTAAAAACTTAAAAATGATTTACCATTATTCGAGTAAAACTTATATGGAATTATTTCCACAGAATTTGAATAAGAAATCTGAAATAATAAAAGGAATAATTAATTAAAACAATAAAATTAGGAATTAAATGAAATAGTAAAATTAAGAATTTAAATGCAATAAGTTCTTTTCTTTTATACATAATCTGCAACATATTGTTAATTTGAAATCTCTTTTTATCAAAAAATTTAGTAGTTTTAATATAAATTATTTTATTGCATATATTATAAAAATTTGCATGAAAGTATGATAAAGATAATAAATTACTACCAGGTAAATAGTAACGATGATACTATGATACCACATCCAATAGATGATGCTATTACCACTAATTACCATTTCTTCGGTTGTGTACAATTCACTGAAGCAAATTAATGATAATTAGCATTATATGTATATGTATAATGTATGACTAATGGATACACCTGTAGTTGGGTAGACTTACACTTATATATTATTAATAATCAACTAATAGGCAACAATAATACACAGATTGCAACTAACATTAGTATTACTATTACTAGTAATAGTAGTTGTAATAACAATTATTGTATTAATAAAATTATTGCGGTTATTGTATCAACAAAATTATTTGTTGTTATTGTTATAGTTTTATAATAGCAAAAGCTGTTATCTGTAGTAGTAGTAACAATTAGTGTTTTGCTTAATGCTATAGCAGTTACATTGTTACAGCTATAGCAGTTACAATAATCGTAGTAGTATTAGTTACAATAAATAATAGTAATATCTTATTGCTACAGCAAATTATTGTAATAACTACGACAGTTACAGTAATCTCGGTAATAATAGCTATATCTATACAATAGTAATAGCAATAATGAACTGAACCATCTTCTAAGCTCACATGGATTAATGAAAATAAATGGAGGAGACAAGAAAAGGCGAAGGAGGAGGAGGGGGAGGAGGTGACAAATGTGTGACATCAGTGCCAAAAATTATATTTAGAGCTATTGCAACAAATTTTCAATATTCTATTTAATTCAAAATTCTTCTTCTATTCCTATCTTATACTTTCCTTTACCCTATTTCAGGCTACTATTCTTTTTCTCCTTCATCTAATTTATTCAATAATTCAAACAGCACAAATAATTTTAATCATCCTTCATCATATAAATCTTTTTTTGTGTACTACTAAACCAGAATAGAATTAAATCTCTCTCTCTCTCTCTTTCTCTTATTCTTCAACCTTAATTGTAATATGCATCCTAAAATGTTCCCAATCGTCTTAATTCGAGAGAAAATTCGTAATCTTCTGAGTGAAATATAACCAACTGACAGTATTATTAATTATGAATAATCTCTTCGTTACAATTATCCATTCCAATTTGGATGAAAGAAAAGAAACAAGCTGTTATTCCTAATTGCAATAAAAATATACCGTATTACATCGAAATTTTCTACTGAACAAATTAATTCGTTGAAATTATTTTTATAAAAAATTTATGACAAATAAGAAAGAAAAATTATTTGATATAAAAAACATAGAATATATGAATAATATTATGTGTGTGATATGATCAATAAATGTGTATATGGGATATTATCAATGTATGTGATATATGTGGTATTACCAATGTATGCGATATTATCAATATATGTGGTATTATCAATGTATGCGATATTATCGATGTATGTGGTGTTATCAATATATGCGATGCTATCAATGTATGCGAATGCTATCAATATATGCGATATTATCAATATATGTGGTATTATCAATGCATGTGATATTATCAATATATGACATATTATCAATATATGTAGTAATATCGATATATGTGGTATTAGCAACATATGTTGCATTATTCAAATATATGTGATATTATCAAATTTAAAAGAGAAAATTATTCGTGCATAATTTACACAAGAAATTATGAATAAAGTTATATATTTTTTTTACGAGTAATTTATGTGAATTTATTTTATATACTATAAATATGATTACATTTTTATAAAACATTTTTTCTTATTAGATATATTTCTTTCCAATTTAGGTTTCAAAATTTCCATATCGATTTTATTAAATTTAATTTCAATTTTCATCATTTCTTCCTTACTTCTTTCAAACAACTTCATTTGTTGAATAACGAAAATTTCTAATACAATTTAATATTAGCATGATATCTTTGAAGTTCGAATAATGCTGCAATCAATGGGAGAATTAGGAAATTTGAAATTCATAACTTTTTCGTTCATTTATCAAAGCCTAACTTTTCGGTTCATTTATCAAAGCCTAATTTGCATACGATAAAATTTGATTATTTTTTGTGATTAATTTTATCTATCAGGAATTTGAGAAATATTATATGAAATTAAAATCTAATAAATTTAAAATATGCAATTTCAATAAATTTAAATTTAAAATATAAATAAATTAAAATTATGCAAAATCAATAAATTTAAAATATGCAAAATCAACAAATTTAGAATATAATTAAATTTAAAGTATGCAAAATCAATAAATTTAAAAACAATGCATAAATTAACCATTTACTTTTCTAAATAAAATATTTATATCATATTATTTATATTTATATCATATTTCAAATATTTATATCATATTTCAATCTTAAAATTTTTAATTGTTTAATTTTTAAAATTTTTAATTTTTATATATCAAATTACTAAGTTAGAAATATGTTTTTCAAATTTCAATTCATTTTAAATATTCGATTAATTTATGCTTAATTATTCTCTTCTTATTTCAATCATTGAATATGACTGAAATCTATTAGTGTTTTCCTTATTTTAATAATCATTTAACAAATTTTCATTTTTAAATTTTCATTCATTTCACTATCAATGCCATGTAGCACTTTCTCCACTTGTAATGCTGATATTATCTATCAAATGATTTATTATCCATTCAATTTGGTCAATGGTTAAACCTCTTGACCAGTACGAAAGGTGTAAGAGATCAAATGATTAGACCTCCTGATCACTGCGAAAGATGTAAGAGATCGTTGTGCTTGTTGGAAGGATTGAAATTTGTTTTACTTGTAACATTGATATTTTCTATCAAATGATTTGTCATCTATTC